TTACAATTACTCATATAGTAAAATCTTCAATTAATTCTTATCCATTTTGTTTGAAAACATTGATTCAGTACTCCAAGGGGATTATCTATTTACCGTATCCACCTGGCGTTAGTTTTAACTGACACCTTTTTACTTCGCATATTATGACTATTTTGCTTGAAGTTTGTATTTTCTTTTTATTTCAGATGAAGACTTCACAATTTTTTCAACATATTTCAATGAAGTGTTCATTTTCCATAATAACAGTTTTTAATGATATTTTTAATATATAAAAAAAAATGAAGAATTTTGTTTAAACAAGGAGGATTTGGTTTAAATTTAACTTCTGCCTATCTGACATCTTTTTCCTATATACGTACCTAATTCACCTTCTTTCAAACTGCTCACTTTCTTTCTGTCCTATTTCGCTTTATGTAGTCATCTCCTTCACTAATTTTATTTCTTCTTTCATTTAGTCAATCTTCTTAAATTCAGTTTTTTCTTAATCCAGTCTTGTCTTCTACATTCAAGTTTTCTTTATTTCCCGTGTTTCAATATTTACTTTTCATTGGTCTTATAAAAATGTATTTTAAGATCATTATTTTTATCTTAACTGAAATTGGAGAACTGAGTTTGAATTCCAGTCGGGTTTGTTACATTCGCTTACGCGCAAATGCCTTTGGAAAAGGTATATATCCATTTCCTCCCCAGCTATGGGTTAAATAGTACGACTTGTATCCGAAAAAATCATTGTTATTCTCAAAAAAATTGTCAATACAATATTCACTCGCAAAAAATTATTCTTCCAGTATAAAATGTTCCGGCTTTAAATAACCCACAAAAGGTTGATAAGTCGTAAAAAAATGATCTATCAATTTCTTTATTTCACTTTTAATTATTTTAGTTATATTTTTCACTTTCTCATCTACACATATCTTGCCTTGTTTTTCCCACTTTAATCCTTATACTCTCTATACTCCTTTGAGTATTAATTTAAATTATTCTCCTTCTTTCTTTTGTTACCCTATTGTCGCATTTTCTTGTAAAGCTCTCAAGATTTCATTGGACAAAACTGAATTTTCAACCACCTAATTATATCACATCTAACATTTCTAACTCATTCTTATATTTAAGACTATTTAAGAGACGCATTCTTCGGCTTTTGTATTAATATTCTTCATTCTTATTTTCCAATTTTGCTTTCTTTCTACTTATTTTTATCGTACATACTTTAAAATGCTTATCTCTCAATCTATTACATGGGAATTCGTTCATTACTTGTGGCTCTGTTCAGAAATTAATTTAATTCTGATAAAATCCACATTCTCTTTCTTTCAGTTATCTCTCAACCTTTCGTTTTCAATGACGTTTCACACGTTATGTTTCTATCATTTTAAATATATTTTCTAATGATTCATTTTCTTCTTTGCTCTTTGTAGGGACTGGAATAATTCTTCTTTTTCATCAGATCTTCGAAAACTGTGTCATGTTTTTTGCTATGCGTTTTCCATTTTTCATTACTTTTTTCTTTCCATACTTTTGTTTAATTTCCCTTAAGAAAAGGCAAAAGATCATGGGTCTAGAGAAGAAAGATAAAGAGAAAAGAAAGAGAGGAAATCTGGAAAATAACAATGAAAAAGAAAAGTGATGTAAAAACTGCCATGAAGGATTTTCTAATGACTGTTTGAATAAAAACTAAGACAAAATAAAGAAAAATGAAAGAATAGGTTATTTGGAAAAGAGAAAGAAAGAAAGAAGTAAAACACGAAGAAGAATGAAATGAAAAGGTGTTTGGTGCAATAACTAAATTAGATCACATCGCTTGACAGAAGATAGATATAAAGAGATAAATCAATATCAATCACGAGAAAAGATTTCAAAATAAAATGTAATGAAAGAAATGTTACAAAAAAGCTAATGTCTGAAATAGGAAAAGTAGAGGAAATCTAAAATAAATATTTGGCAAAGTACTAAAACTGAAAAAGTAGGAAAAATGAACTAGAAAAGGAAATAGACATTATGTGAGATAGAAAATTCCGTGGCAGTGAAGGACAGGAAAAAGCTTTGATTGAAAGGAAAATGTCTGAAGCAAAAGTAATGAAATAATAAAAATATAATAATAATAATAATAATAATGAAAAAAAAACAGTGTGACCACGTTTATAGAAAAGCGAGCAACCAATTTTTCATTTGTTGAAGGGAAATGACTTTAGCTGTGTACAATAAAAATAAAAGTAAATCAAAGTTCTATTTTTTTGTGGACAGCAGATTACATGCACAGTTACTTTACGTTTAAAGAATGTGTATAAGACTGTATATGTGTATAAGAAGGAAATATACTTATATGTATAAATAAAGGATGGCACGATTTAATGTTTAGCGTGGAAAGACTGAAATTGGCAAATATTCTGTGAATCAAAAGAAAAAAAGAAAATGTAAATGGGTCTGGACCTAAATGGAAAGATTTACACACCGATTCAGGGAAAGAATACAGAAAAAAAGATGACTTAATAAAACAGGAAAAGGAGAGAGAGAGAGAGAGAGAGAGAGAGAGAGAGAGAGAGAGAGACTCTTTGTGTATGGATGTTTACATATTGGTCTGTTAGGAAAAATAATGACACAGTGAAAAATATTCGGTGATGTGTTTCGACCTTAGGACTTCGTCAGACTAAAGTGATGTTTCTATTGAAAAGAAGAGAGGACGCTGAAATTTTAAACTTTTAAATTTAATTTTCTTCATTAATATATAATCCAGCAAATTTCATTTAGTTTCTGTTTTATGTTTTTATCGTTTTTTTTTATTGTGTTGCTGTTAAGTAGCGGTGCCTATTTTTGATGGAAACAACTATTTACTCATTATTTACATTATTCGGACTATTGTCCTCATCTTTGTCGCCATATTTATTACAACGTTTCGGCCGTTGTACGCTCCGGCCTTCTCAGGTGGTTGGAATGTCGAAATTATTTATTTCGAAGTAAAGTGTTAAGTTCGACATTCCAACCACCTGAAGAAGGCCGGAGCGTACAATGTCCGAAATGTTGTAATAAATATGGCGACAAAGATGAGGACAATAGTCCGAATAATGTAAATAATGTACATAATACCTCATCTCAGAAAAAAAGATAGATACTGAACTATTTACTCCTGTCTCAATAATAAGTCTAACCGGTTCGATAAGGTTCGATTACCAGTTGATGTAAAAATGGCCTACAGTCTGTTGTTAAGGAGTTTTTTAAAAGTTTTTTTTTAAGCATTTCACCCCAAGCAAGACGGGAGTGCCACCAGTACGCAAGGAACTAAAGAGAGTGTAAGTAAGAGAAAACACTGGGTATGGGTGGGGAGTTAGGAAAGGATAAAAAGAAGAACAGGGATCAAGGCAACAGAAGATGTCAGTTGACATTACATTTAAATTTTTGAAGATTATAGTTATCAGGGAAGCAAGGGAGTTCCACTGTCGGGAAGTGCGAGATAAGAAGCTGTTGGAGTAGACGAGGCGGTTACATTTAACTGTTTTGACAGTAAAATGGTGGAATGGAGATGCCAACCTAATAGCACGCTTAAATTCAGGCAGTCAGGGCACCAGTGAAAATAGTTCGTCAGAGCGTATACCATGAAAATATTTATAGAAAAGAAAGAGCAATGCGACATTACGTCTGTGGGAAAGTGACTGGAGACGAGACTCTAAGTCAGGATCTATTACATTGTATATCCGTCTCTGGATTTTGTTGAGAACCTAGAGATGAACAGCAGGGGCACCAGACCATACATGACAACAGTATTCTATGCATGGCTGGTAGATTTGTAGTGTGAAGGATGGACTCAGATGAGAAAAAACCTTCTGGCACAACACAGAAAACCAATTTTCCCTGTGGTAGATGCAGCTATTGATTCAATGTAGTTGTTCTATCTCAGGTCAGTGGAAAATGTGAGACCAGGTAGGTGCAGTGAGGTGCTCTCGTGAAGTTGAGCATCAACCATGCCTATAGGAGACAGGGACGTTTATCTGTAGTAAGTAAATGACAGCAGCTTAATTTTGGATGCATTAAAATTCACAAGCCATTGCCTTCCCCATTCAATCACAGATTGAAGGTCGTTTTCGAGACCAAAACCCAAGTTAACTTTGTTAGCAATGCCGGATTTACTATTGAGACAGGAGTAAACGGTAGTGTCGTCTGCGTAGATGCTGACTTGAGAATTGATGACGTCAGGGAGATCATTAATGAAGATCAGAAACAGTGTAGGACCAATAATAGAGCCTTGAAGAACACCAGCGTTCAGGACAACCTTCATTTCACGGTTAGACAAAAATGATTGGATTAAATCAAATAATTGACCTGTAATACCGTATCCTTGAATCTTACATAGAAGGCCAGCATACCAAACCCTATCAAACGCGTTCGATATATCAAGAGCAACAGCTAAAGCCTCGCCGTAATTATGAAGAGCTCAGTATACTTATTCAGTTATGGCCGTAAGCATATCAGCGGTAGACCAGGAAAAGCGGAAACCATATTGTTTGTTAGAGAGCAGAATGTGGGAGGTGAGATGCTTAACTACTTCGGCATTGATTAAAGTCTTGAAGACATTGCCGAAGAATGGTAGAAGACTGATGGGACGGTAGGTAGATGGGTCAGAATGGTCTCCAGAATTCTTAAAGACCGGGGCGACAGAGGAAGGCTTTCAACAGGCTGGAAAGCAAGAATCTGCGAGGCAATAGTTGTATAGTTTAGAGAGAACTGAAGCCAGCTCAGGGGAACATTTCTTTAGGACTGCGGATGGTATCCCATCACCACCACTTGAATGGTTTGTTAATTTTAACGCTTCGAAAACGAAACTGCTTTCTTTTAATTATCTGAGAGAAGCGTCGTACCTTCCATCAGCATGACCAATGCTAACCTCCAGGACAGTGACTCATTGCACCTTCTCGGGCTAACGTTCTCTGGTGACATGACGTGGAAAGAGTATATTGGACGAATTGCTAGGTCTGCTGCTAATAATGTTGGCTCACTGTGTCGTGCTA